CGTGTAACAAAATAGAGAGAGGTGAAAAGCCCATGTGTACAATGAAATAGAGTATATGATAAGGAAGTTTTTGTAATAGAAAAACTATCCAATAAATGGCTCTAAGATAATCCATACCACAACATAAATAAATTAGGAATTAAGTATAATTAGGAATTAGGAATAAAGACCTAAATATAAAACTAAAACTTTAAAAATCTCTCCATAAGTAAAATTCATATTGTTCGTGAGAATAGCACAGTACCAACACCCTTATTCTGACAAAGGGAACTACAAAAAAAAAACTAAACTAGAATTATACCTAATGGAAACATAGTGAATGTTTCCCCCTTGAATGAAAAAATAAGTCAAGGCTGTCACTTGGGTAATGAATTGTTTTCTGCTCAAGTCACATCAGAAATAATTTTAATATTTTGTAACATCACAACCTTTTCAGAGAGGAGAGTTGTTTCCCAGTGTTCCCGAATAATTCTCCAAACTTGTTCTTAGGCATATGAAGATGGGCTACAGCATCTGTCCAATACTGGAAAATAAAAGTATACCCAATGCTGAGTGCAGCACGAGTTACCACACCTTTCACCCAAGAAGCTGACAATATTATTGAAGACCTTTAAAATGAGAGTGTCCCCAACTTCAAGTGGTTATTTGAGAGCTTATAAGGAAGTCATTTTCAAATACTGATTTGGAACTCTTGATGTAATGTGCACCATTGCTATTGAGTCTGATAGCAGTGATGTCCCTTCCTCTGCGTTTCTGGATCAGTACTCATAATAAAGAAATATGCTTCTTCATCAATATGCCTGTTGCATGGTCCTCTGGCACAAGTCACAGGATGACCTCAAATGATTTGAAATGTAAGTAGATAGTCTTTGGAAGAAAATGCAATATTGTCTCAACAAGAATCCAAATTCCTTTCTGCCTCACTGGTAATAGCTTAGAAAATGCTATCTAGTTAATCATGATAAATTTACCTCATTTCTTTCTCTATATGAGACAGAATTCAAACCACTGATTGGTGAGCTGTGTCAGAAAATTGGAGCTAGAAAATTGACTCTCCATGTATTTTGGCAGTAATAATATGTACCACATGAGATGAATGAAGTTTAAATAGAAAAAACATCAATACTTCACACAATGCTTGACCCATAGTTCATAAATGATTGCTCTGACACTTCCTATCATCATTGTTATCAGTAATTAAGTATCTGCCATGTACCACGTCCATATTAAAATACTGTAGGCAGAACTATGTCCATTCATGGAGTTTCAAAATCCCTAAGGAAGTGCTCAACTATTAAAATTTATGATACAATCATTATTAAAGGAAAAGGTTTTATTCTCACCATTTTATAGGTTGTTAGGAAAGAATTTACTGTCAAACATTCTAGGCAACATCTACTAAGCATTTCTGTTAAGAATATTCAACCTGTCTGGTCTCCATTTGTTCTTGCCTGTAATACTTGGGACTATGACTTGAGGCTAGCATGGACAGGAAGTTCATTAGACCCCCGTCTCAACCAATATCTGGGTACAGTGGTGCATGCCTACCATCCCAAGCTACTTGGAGACTGAGATAAAGAGGATCAGAGTTCAGGCCAGCCCAGGCACAAAAAAGGATGTGAGATTCCATCTCAGTGGAAAAAAGCTAGACATGGTGGCATGTACCTGTCACCATGGTGGGAAGGATAAAACAGGAGAATCACAGTCCAGGACAGGCTGGGCAAAAATGAGACCCTATCTCCTGAATAACCAGAGCAAAAAGGGCTGAAACATTGCTCAAGTGGTAGGGCTGCCTTGAAAGTATGAAGTCCTGAGTTCAAACCCCAGTATCCCAAAAAACTCAAAAAAAAAAGAACAATGAAGCTGAGCCAGGTATGGAGGTATGGTAGTATAAGCCTGTAATCCCACCTACCAGGGAAGCAGAGGCAGGAGGATCACAAATTTGAGGCCAGCCCAGGCAAAGGTTGTGGTGAGACCTGCCTCATAAAAACAGAAAATAAAAAAACAAAGAGGCTACAGGTGTAGCCCAAGTGGTAGAATACTTGCCTACCATGTGCAAGTATTCTCCCTCTGAATTCAACCTCCAATACCACAAAAAAAAGAGAATATTCAACCTCAATATTAGTACACATAAGAAATTATTAAATATAATGTTGTAAAAAGCCAATCCAAATATGGATCAAAGAATAGACACACCTTGAAACAGACAAGGACCTCTTCTGAACTGTTAACCAAGCCTTGACTCTGAGGTGAGTCAGTTTGCACCTACCTGACTTCACCAGCAGATGTTGCTGTGAAGTAGAGGAAGGCCTGCACAGACACACACCCTGTGCTGAGCTCTGAGCTCTGAGGACTCGCTCTCAATGTGAAGAAATTCCAATATTCATCTGCTTGATTTCTTTGTTTTCTTGCTTATTTGTGTTTTAATCCACAGGGAACAACTTGGAAAGACATTTAAAGATACCCATTTTATTTCAAGAATTACTGTATGGTTTAGAAAGCATATTTATGTACAATATCTGCTTAAAAACCCTTCATCCTGTTAGGCATGTTTTCTTATCCCAAGTGTCTTGGCTGTGAGACTCCTAAAGGTTAGTTGATAGGCCTTATGTCTTGTAGTCAGAAACTAGTAAGTGATGGTGGCTCTAAATGATAGATTTCTACCCTGAAGGCCAGTAAGCTTTCTTCTGAACTCCAGATTGGGCAAACTGAATGCAAGTATCAGTAATGTGAGTTTTCATGTTCATGGAATCCAAGAATATGTGAACATATTACCATTACTTTAGCCGGGGCTTTTAACTGAAAGACAGTGCTAGAAACATTTGGTCTTAATACACTTCATAAAGAAAAGCTTTCTAATATGACACTTGACAAGAAATGAAATAAAAACAAATCTTAATTTCTTATTTGTTTGTAATACGGGTTTTTTTGTGGGGGTGGTACTGAGGTTTGAACTCTGGCCCTCATGCTTACCAGGCAAGTGCTCTACCTTTCTTATTTGTTTGTAAATCTAATTCTTTGTTAAAGTGAAGTCAATTTAAGTACAAATTGTAAATACTAAGTTATAAAATTCTATGATATATACTTAGTAGTCAAATGTTCTCAATATATTTTAAAGTAATTAATATTTAAAAGTCAGTTTGTATTTTAATAAACAAGGAAAATATATCAACTTGTTTTGTTCATATATTTTCTTTGCAAAATACTGATCTACTAATCATACATAAGTATGTACTAGAGTGGCCAGCTGTTCTCGTTTGCCCAGGGATTCAGGGAATTTTACTAAAGCTGGAACAGTCCCAAGAATACCAGGATGTTTGGTCACCCTTCTCCACACAGTATATTATATACTATGTGTTAGGTGCACACACATTTTCCTTCCTAATAACCTGAGTCATCTTGCACAATTATTTTACTGTGCTGTAATACGGTAATGCTCTCATAAACTATACTAATGACTGAAACTGTGCCAGTGTGCTCAGCTAAGCTGGTATTTCTTTTTAGATATTTTATCTCAGTTTTCTACATTTCTTACTTCTTTTTGCTGACCCCTATATATTTTTTAACTTAAGTGTTATTAGTTAGCAAAAAGGAAAAAATCAGATACCCAACTTCCTGGGGATTCATAAGACGTATTTTTGGAGTACAATTCATGGGCATTTTAGAGAGAAGAAAGTGCATGGTTTTTAATTTAAGAAGTGCTGGATCAAGATTAGATTGGGTGATCAAGTAATAATGGATTAAAGAAGACAGAAGTGTATTTTTCTCTCATGTGAAAGAAGTCTGGGGGCAGGAAGCCCAGAACAGGGTAGGCACCTTCACAGTCAGTAGAAACCCAGGCTTCTTTTATAATTGTGTACCCTGAGTGGCTATATTAGCCCCTAAATCTAGAATTCTGTTTCTTAGGAAAATAGGAAAGAGGGATATCGGATAACAATGAGAAGTCCTTGAGTTGCCTATCCTAACTTACTGGTGGAGCGGATGAAATTTCTACTGGGGATGTAGTTCAGTGGTAAAGTGCTTGCCAGGCCTGCACAGGGCCCTGGGTTTGATCCACAGCACTAGAGGAAAAAAAGGATTACTTTACTTTGTTCTATTTGTTTCTTCCTTGCTCTCAACATGTAGTCTTTATCTGAATTCCATCTGAGACCTCACGAGTCATACAGACTATAGCTAGACAGGGACTTAGATGTGCCAGTGCACCTGAAACCTGGCACTAAGCCATTTCCAAGAGCCTGAGACTGGCCTTGTAGCTCACAACTATAACTTCCTTAGAGATGCATCAGCCTGGTTTTATGGGTCTCCAGAGAGCAATGAAGCTGTACTGATACCATGAGCATCCCCCCAAATTATTAGGTTTGTGGAGTTTTATTTCTGAAAGGCACTAGAGTCCATTCCCCTCCTTTTATTGAGAAGAAACAGGAGAGTTCGGTGACTTGTCTGAGGACACTGAACTAGCTAGTTACAAATTTCTCTGTAGCCCTATTTGCCAAATCTTATGGGCAAGATATGACCTGTGATTGTTCAGGCCCTATCTTTAGGAAGATACATTGTCCTGTGGCTCTTCCATATTTTGGAAGAAAGTTTGCAATGCTCTTCTACCATCCCTGAACAGACTCCTCAGGAGGAAGACACTCGTTTGGTGGGGAGCCAGACCTCCCCATTTGAGTATGCAGGGGGTTCTCTGTTCTGTCCCTCTTAAAGAAGAGCCAGGTGCCAGTGGCTCATGCCTATAATCCTGGCTACTTGGGAAGCTGACATTGGGAGGATCAAGGTTCGAGGCCAGTCTGGACAGATAGTTTGTGAGACCTCATCTCCAAAATAACCAGAGCAAACTGGACTGGAGGTGTGGTTCAAGAGGTAGAGCGCCTACCATGTGAGCACCTGATTTGCAAGCATGAAGCCCTCAGTTCAAAGCCCAGACCCACCAAAAAAAAAAAAAAAAAAAAGGAAGGATGGATTTGCTCCAATGCATCTTTTAAACCTAGAGGACACATGCCAGTTTTATAAAACATTTTATTTATAGTAGAGCTTTATAAAAATAAAATTAATACAAACCCATTTTATAATATAACTTATACAACTATCTTCTCAAAAAAGTGACATTTGGTTATAACACATAAGCTACATTTATATTTGTTAATAAGTCACTTTATGGTATAAATATTTTTTTTTCATTTTCATAAGGTACATGCCAAGAATGAGCAATGGGCAACAAAACTATTTTGTTATTCTTCCAATGTAAAAATTCATCTCTGGCCAAAACAAAATTAACCAAAGAGAAGTAAAACAATTGTCCTTCTGTTCAACAATGCAGTCCTTTTTCATTATTTGAAAGTTTATCTGACAGAGACACCACATCAATCTGAAAACACCAGGGCATAAAGTCCATAACCACATCCCCTAAAGCTTTCTCCAACCTCTGTCCTTCAGTGTTTCTTCAGTATTTTGCCAAGATAAATAAAGATCGACCTCGACCCTCTCTTCCATTAGTCTCAAGTGTTCTTTTTATACAGTGAGGTTTTTAGACTTTCCCAACTGGCAAATATTTAAAATGTTAGTTTCTTTCTTTGGCTTCAAGTAGAGTTTCTCAACACTTAAGAAACATACTCAGCTCCTCCATGTGGCTGAATCTCTGTGACTCCCCACCCAACAACATTTCCCCGGATGTGACAAGAGTCCACTCCTCCAGTCTCTCTTATCTCTTCCTTGGTGAGAGCACGATCCCAGATATTGAAGCCTGTGAGTCTTCCAGAAAAGGCTAAGGTTTCATCAAAGCCCCCACCCACACAGCAGCCATTCTTTTCTTGGCCAAGCTGCAGGATTCCTCCCTCGGGAACAATGTGATTTGTGGCCATCTCCACAGTGGTAGCCACCAGCTCGCCATTGGCCCACAAGGATGTGTGTCCTTTCTCTGAATTCCAGGTACCACACAGGTGGGTCCATCTTCCTAGGGCAATCACAGTGTCAGCAACCAGTTTGTTCTCCTCTCCTCCAACCACGAACTTTATGGACTGATAGCTGAGGTACAGCTGGATCTCATATGGACTCCTTTTTGTGCCATAGGAAAACAGGATGGTTTTGTTTAATACATCTGTGGCTTTGACCCAAATGCAGGCACTAAAAGACTCCAGTTTCATTGGTCTTGAAGGATGCACACTTCCAAAAATCTTCTTGGAACGCATTGGGAATAAGATTGCTGTTTCACAACCTAAAGTAGCAAAGAAGTAAGAACATGAGAAAAAACACGAATTCACTCAGAATTATTCTGGCATTTAGTTATTTTAATATAAGCATGCAGATAACTGTAACTGATAATTATATTCAGCATTATAGTGTGGCTTAAGGGGCTTCAAGTGTAATCTCTATAGAGCAAAAAAAAATGAGAATAAGCGAAGTCACTTATTCAGTGAAGCACATAAACGAAGAAAAGTAAGCACATAAACAGAAGAGTCAAGTAGCACAAACCCACAAAATAATAAAAGCCATGCTGAATGACAGCTTTTCTTTTCAATTAGCTTCTTTTCTTTATTTACTGCTTTTTCAAAATGGCATCTCACAATGAGTTAACTTCAGTCAGTGATTTTGTGATTTCTAATGATTTCGAGTTCAACCTGTCTCACTTTTCCTACCTTCACCAGGTTCCCACGATTATAAACCTGTGGAACTCAATGGACCTAGTTCATTCTCTGTAGCCATTTTCAACATGCTTTTTCAAACAAAATTCTAGAATAGTAGTGTTATTGGATATTACATTTTAATATACCACATGTTCTTGGATGTTTGTAAATTTTGTGGAGTTTGTAGAAAACAGCGTTTTGAGAGGTGACATAACAGTAATGACTAACGCCTGTTGGTTACTGTATGCCAGATACTGTTCTGATCCATATTTACGCTATTTAAGTCTGTCCTCTCATCAGCCCTAAAAGATAATCCTTTTATTCCCACTTTGCAGATGAGAAGACTGAGGCCAAATAGCTTATCTTTGCTTCCATAGGTGATAAATTTTAAAACTGTGATTTAATTTGGGCAGGCTTGCCAAGGTCACATCCTTAATTATCACACTACATTGCCTCCTTAAAACAGAATCCTTGGATTTGGCTAGGAGACTGGAATTCAGTTTATCTTGCTGCTGTTGAGAACTGTGCAGCTTTTGATGAATCCTGTAATCTCTCCAGGCCTTAGTGTTATCTATAAAAAGCTCTTGTTTTCTGTAGATCTATAAGCAACAAGTACGTAGCACTCAAGAAGAACTGGGTAGGCCAAGGATATGCTTAAAGCTCTTACTCTGTCCACATGCTTCTGCATATTAGTTAAGCCATAATAGGAAAACTTTGAGAGGAGCGAGTTCTTGCATCAGCATTGGAGAACGTGGTTCTGCTAAAGAACATTCAGCAGGAAGGGACTTTCAAACATGGGGCTAAAAGCTCCAGCTGTTCCCGCCTCTGTCCACCCCAAGGCCATATGGATGGTCTGGATCCTGAATATGCTGAAGGAAAGACCTAGGTGTCTCTGGGAAATGATGGTGCTGGAGCCTTTAACAGGTGGACTTTGCTTTATGATACATATATCATAAAATTATTAATGCTTTCTCTCTATATATATAATATGAAGAATTATATATATACAGATAGGTAGGTAAATCTATCGATCAGTAGATAGATGGATAGGGACAGAGAGAGAATTAAGAAAGAATTTTAAAAAAAACTAAATTAGGGCTAGGTGTTCACTTTATAACAATCTAAAGAAGATATGTCAGAAGATAGCGTGGAAAAGCAAACTCCCAGAGCATTTAAAGGCTAATTGATGAATAGAAAGGATGTGAGGGAACCAAATGCCCAAATAAAGCGTGGTAAACTATGCCAAACTCCTGCATTTGGCTCTGTCTTGAAAACAGTATGCAAATGTGAACCTTATCTTTTAATGAGCATCAGAGAAAATACTGAGGTTTCAAAAAGTCATATAAAACTATCATATTAATGCATGAAACTTGCCACTCTTGAAAATCCAAACTTTCCTGCAAACAAGGTAATGCCAAGGTTTTTTTTTTTTTAATTAATTTTTAATGAGGCATTTTCAATAAAATTGCTAGGCACAATTAATTAAATCTAGCACATTTCTAGCACATTACTTAAATAAAGTCCACGAGACAACAGATTATCATGTCCATGGGCTCTGAAATATTCTGGTCTCTGTTAAATTCCAGTAAAGTGGTGTTCAAGAGGGTGCCCACTGCAATCTAATTGCCTAATGTCCTGTGTAAGTAAGGCCAGGCAGTCAGGACTGCATTCCGAAGCACTCCTCGATTGTGTCTGGGAGGCTTGGCTTTCTGCTGGCTGTGCACAGGGTGTGCACGGTGTGTGCACAAGGCGTGCACCGGGTGTGCACGGGGGAACCTGCATGTTGGCAGGTTTTTGTGGGCTTCTCTGGGGGACCAGTGGTTGAGGCTCTGGACACCTCTTTAAAATGTCAGACGCTCTCTGGCAAAATGGCTTTTAATGAATAGATCATTCTAATTATATTATCCAAGACCAAACAAAATTAAAACCAGGTCCTCAGGAGGTCGACGGCAGGATGACTAGGAATCCCTTAGGAGCTGAGTTGGCAGGAGACCAAGGGAGCCCAAAGCCAAGCGTGTGGGTGAAAGCATAAGAGTCAACGTTGCAGAACTGAGGAGCACAGTTTTCTGTTTCTGAGAGTCTCATGAAAAGTGTAAGCTTCACTTTCCTACATAGGACACTCTTTCTAAAATAACCGCAAGTGATTTCTATAAAATTTGAAAACCAATGTCAAGGGTGCCAAAGACCTAATTCTACTGGGTCGCTACGGAGCCCAGTCTTAAGTCTGGCATTATTTGGCTCCAAGTCTATTTCTTTCTTTCACCAACTTTAAAGTGCATCATTTCCAGCACCCAAATCTGTTTGGAGGTTCAAGGGTTGTCACGGGAGGCTTTGACAAATTGCACCTAGTCTACTGTGTGGCTCTGACTCTCCCAATCCGCGGGGCGCGGGGGAGGTATCACCTACAGGCTCTGACTCCTGCACCTGCCTCTTGCAGGGGGAGATTCTGGCGGGGACACCCCGACTTTCACTGTTGAACCAATTCCACAGACTCTGAGAGCTGGGGGGACCCTTAGGGGAATTCCCCTGGCTCCGCAGGAGATCGGAGGAGGAGGGGGTGGAAAACGCAGCTAAAAGTTAGCATAGACCCTGAAATAGTGCGAGAAATCAGAGCTCGCCTAAAGAGAGGGACGGGATAAAATTAGAAGACGTGGAAATCCCTAACGGAGGGAAGCTGAGCAGCGACAGGGGTCACGGCTATAACGGGCCAGTGGAGCTCCCGCTAGTTCTAGGGGATCGGGTGTCGGGGCGCTTGGGGGTCTATTTCAAGACCAGGATGGTTAAGTACTCAGCTTGCCTGGGCTCCTGGGGTTGAGGAATGCTTTTGAAAGGCACTTTCCCCGCCCTGTCTGGTGCGTGTGAGCTCTGTGACCGTGCATGCAGAAATAGAGATTTGTGTGTGTGTTTCGCCATTAAAGATCGCGCGCTTGCGGGACAAAGCCAGGGACTGTCCCCGCCCCGCCAGGTCCTTACCTGCCGGCAGCCAGCGGCGGGCGGCCCAGCCCTGCACCGCGCGCAAGTCGGCGCGCGTGTCGTGCAGCTCGCGCAGCACCGCGTCCAGCGCGCGCCCCGCCTCCTCCGCGCGCCGCGTCCCCGCGCTCTCCAGGCGCGCCAGCCTCAGGTCCGCATCGCGGATCGCCTGCCGCAGCTCGTCCAGCGCCCCGGCCAGCCCGGCGTCCGCGGGGACCGCGGGGGCGCACGGCCGCGCCATGCTGCCCGCCAGGCGGCCCAGCTCCGCCCGCAGCCTCTGCAGCTCGCCGCGGAGGACGTCGTCGGTGGCCTGCAGCAGCATGCCTTCCCGCATCTGCGAGTTCTCCAGCATGATGAACAGCTTGTCCCACTCAGAATGCTCCCGGCGGCAGTCGCACGGCGTGGCTAGGGACACACACGGGACACTCATTACCAGCCCAACCAGGCCTTCCTTGGGTGTGCTTTGTAAAAGCTGACCTTCCTTGGTGGTCCTAAGTTACAGCGGGTCACCAACATCCCCTTCCCTTTATGGACATCTTCAAAAACAGCGTGTAAACACTTCAAAAATGACACAAACCATGGAGGAATAGAGTAAATTGAGCTCTATGAAATAGCCGTTTCTGTGGCTAAAACCAGTCAGATATCGGCTATTTGGAATGATCCAGCTCGTTACAGAAGTATTTGAAACCTCCCACTTTTCTCAAGAATTTCTCATTTTTGCAAAAACAAACTATAAATTTTAGCTTGTTTCATTGGCTCCAAAGTAGATGCACATTATTTTGGCTAAAGGAAGTGGGAGTTAGCAGAGAAAGTTGAAATGAACTTACGGTCCTCGGTGGGATGGAGTCCATTGTCTATTTCGTTGTCCAAATTCACATACATGAGCTCATAATCATCTGTGTTCTCGGCCAACACTGCACACCAGATCGCACAGAACAGAACCGCGGGGAGATGCATTGCTGGGGAGAGACAAAGGTGCACAGCTGGCGGGAGGGGAAGAAGCGGGTGATCTCCGGTGCGGTGCGAGGAGTTTGAGCCCGGGAGAGAGTGAGTGAGAGGCAGCAGCCCCGGCCCTTAATAAACGCCGGGAAAGCCTGAATGGGGGTGAATGAGTAATGCCGGTGGCACTGCAGAATGGGAGTTTCCCCTGGATTTGGGGGAGGGGGCTGGGTGGAAGGGCTGGAGAGACGTGAAAGTTGCACAATATTAAACCACAAACGTTTACACTGCAGTCAGATTAATTGGAGGAGGGTCAGAGGGGAAAGAGGGGAGAAACTGAGCTTGGATTGTCCCCCTGAGGATTGACAGCTGTGACTTGAACTGGTAGCCCTGGGGAATGGGGGGTGGAGGGTAGAGAAATCATTCAAGGAACAGAGGTGTGGAAATCAACATTTTGGCACATTCTGTGAGCCTTGATTATTTCACAATCTTTTAAGCTTTTGGAAACTTTTTTTTCCCACTTTTCCTCCAGATATTTTCACAGGTCCAAGCTATGGAAATGACTCTGATTCCAGTATGAACCAACCTATTAAGAATTTCTGTCATTTTTAGAAGCTAAGTCCATTCTAAGTTATCTTGTTACTTTCAACTACAGGAGTTGCAACTATAAACTATACTTTTATAAACACACTTTTTCAATGACAAATACAGCACAACTGAGTAAACCTAAAATGAGAAAGAGCTGAGGGAGAGGAATAAACTGATTTTAGTGTTTCTTTTCATAAGGTGTTAATGTGTGGATATTATACTAGTCTACAAGGCTTAGAAACAAGACATGTTTAACACATAAAGGTAATGACTCCTGTTTCTAACAATATATGGAGGCCTGTGACAGTCCTCCCTGGAAAAACACCTAGAAATGTGCCTACGTTATACTAATAGTAGTAAAAACTGAAAATATTCAGATGAATTCCAAACGAAGTAACAAAACTATCCTGGAGCTAAAGATAGAGAAGGAACCAAAACCCCAAGAGTAAGTTCAGAAGCTGATTCCAGATCCTGCTGGTGGGAACAGGGCTTAATAGTGTAACCATCAAGTGTTGATGACCTAGAAGGAGAGAAGCTTAGGTCCAGAGTGGGGAGTCAGAAGTGAAAATTCAAGTCAGGACCCTCAGAATGCTACATATTGGATTTCAGCAGGTATAATCCCACTTTCTGCTCTTGCACAAGAAAATAGGAAGCAAGCCTTGCTCTCTTTCACTGAGCTATAGAAGACCCTTAAGAGTTAAGACCTGGGATTTATCTTATAGGTTTGTAATGCAAATGTATACTATCTGCCACAGTAAAAAATGAATTCACAATCAGAGATATTTAAACATATGAGGAAATGATCCACTATAAATGAGAATCATCAGAAAGAAAAAAAGGGATTAAATGCTATTTCCAAGGACTTTATTTAAAATATCAGCTAAAAAACTAGAAATTAAGTGTCTTTAAGATCATTTAAAATTGCAAAGAAGTAGAAATGTGAAAAAGAGTAAGATTTTTCAAAAAGAAAAAGATGAGGTAAATTTTTTGAGTTGCATATAATTTCTAGAATTAAGAAAAGTTAATTAAAAAATTTTTAAAGCTCAAGGAATGGATAAAATGGCAAATTAGGTAAAGCTGAAGAGAGAATTAGTGAACTAGAAGACAGATGTAAGAAAATAATCCATGATACACTCCTCTTATGTTCAGTAAGGTTTCAGGAGGATGATAAAAGAATTATCTTTTTGTTTGCTTAAAAATGTTTGTTATAATTTTAAGAACAACCATGAAAACCAGAAGGAAGTAAATGTCCAAATAGAAGGAATATGAGAGAATTAAAAAAAAAGCAGTGGAGGAGGAAAGAAAAGTGTAGATAAAACAAGATAAAAAGTACAATATAATGTGGTTAAAAATAAACCTAAATATACCAATAATTACCATAAATGTTAATGAAGTATGTTTTCCAGTTAAGACAGTGTTAGATAGGAGTGTTTTAAAAATTCAGCTATGTCACTTATGAGAACAACACAAAAAATATAAGAAAGGAGAGAGGAAGAGAGAGAGAAGAGAGAGAGAATGTGAGAAAAGAGAAAAGAAGAACATATCAGGCAAACACTACTCAAAAAAGCTAGCAGAGCTGTATTAGTATCAGTTGAAAATAGACATTTAGACAAAGAAGACAATTAAATGATGATAAAAGAAACACTTGACTAGAAGATATTTCAGAATTATCTAATAACTTAGTTTTAGAAAATATATACCAAAAATTGACAGAATTACAGAAATTGACAAATCATTGATCTTGGATGGAGACTTCAGCATAAGTAATAAATTCATCTGTTACAACAGACCATTTAATGTTAAAAAAAAAACCCTACTACAGGATAAAGCTTGACATAATAAAATATATTGATCCCTGCCCAGATAGTTTGATAGGCAGTTTCTACCACATATTCAAGGAACACATAATCCCCACCTTATACAAGCTGCTTCTGAGACTAGAGTGTAGGAAGGTGCTAAATTCTTTTTATAGGTCTAGTAAATATGATACCTGAAAGAGACAAGGGTGATGGTATAAGAAAGGAAAATTGCTGCTAGTCTTTTTGAAGAACATTGATGCAAAAGTTCTGAATAAAATATTAGCTGAACAAACCAGCATTATATGCACAAAAATACAGCATCACTATGCTGATCAGTCTTGAGTATCAGTTTGATTAGATTGAGGAAAAACCTGAAGATTAGGAGAGCACACTTCTCGGTGTCTGTGAGGGTGTTTCCAGAGACAATTAACCCACCCTAAATGTGGGCAATACCTAAATGAGGGCCCAGCTAGAACAAAAGACACAGACCTGAAATGTATTCTTGGTACAGTGGTGAGCCTAGTTGCCTTTCCAAAAGGCACAGCCATTCTCTCTCTCTGCTTCCTGGCTGCCATGAGGTGAGCAACATTGCTTCACTACCCACTCTTGCTACAGTGATGTTCTGATCACTTGCCCACAGCAATGGAGTTAGCCAACTATGGACTGAGACAAAATAAATCCCTCTTCCCTTAAGTTCTTTTCTAATACAATGACTAAGTTGAATTTATCCCAAGACTACAAGATTGATTAAATGTTAGAATATCTCTTATTAACTTATTACATTAACAGTTTAAAGAAGAATCATATATGATCATGTTAACAGATGAGAAAAACATTTGAAAAAGTTCAACACTAATGATCAAACTAGCAAACAGGCAGGAACTTACTTAAGCCATAAGAATATAAATACAAAACCCATACAAACAGATACATTATGCAATTGTAAATCCTTGAGGGCATACACTTTATAAACAGGAAAAATGTAAGGATGCTCATGGGCACTGGTTCCATTTATTGAAGTATTATTTGAAGGTCCCAGCCAGTAAATAGGACTTAAAGACATAAGATGAAGAAACAAAAAGAATAAAGATGAAAAGGAAGTTAATTATATATATGGAAAACTTAAAAGACTCAAAAGACATTATTAATAAGATGATTAAGTTTTGCTGAATATAAGATCAACATACAAAAATCTGTTGCTGCCTTAATACTGGTAGATAAAGTAAAAATATCCTTTGTAGGGGGAAGAAGCTTGCACACAGAAACAATAGATATAGGATACATCGGTATCAATTTGACAGAAGATACATAAATCATAACTGGTATTATAAATATTTTATTTAAAATATGTACATAGATAAGATAAATCATATTCTTGAACAGGAAAGTTTAGTTTCACAAGATGTCAATTATCACAAATTAGTCTATATAGTCAATATGAAAAAAAAAAAATCCCAGCCAATTTTTTAAGGAAATTAACAAACTGATGCTAAGATGTGTATGCAGCATCCAAGAGGAATTTTGAAGACGGGGAAGGCAAGGAAATTTTCCCTGTGAGATATAGCAACTTATTATAAGATTATTGTAATTAAGAAAGCATGGAATTGATAAAGGGATAAATGAATGCCCAGAAACAGATCTAGGTTTTTGTGTGTGGGAAATCCCATGTATAACAGAGGTGCTGTGAGCCAGAAGAGTAATAATTCATCACTCAATAAGTGGTGCAAGAACAATTATTTATATACAAAAAAATGGAATTAGATTCTGTTCTTTGCACAAAAGTAAATTCCAAATGAATTAAAGATAAATACAAAACACAAAACCATAATACTTTTAGGAGAAAATACAGGAGAATATTTTTATGAACCTGGTATAGAAAAGGATTTCTCAATAACAAAAATAATCATAGATCATAAAATAAAAAATAGAAGAGCAAATCAACAATGTTAGAATCGTTATTTAAAATTAATAAAACAAATAATTGTCTCCAGAATAAATGAGGAAATGCTAATGATTTATAAGAAAAATGCAAACATCCCAATAGAAAATACCCAAAGAATGTGAATGGCTAACTCACAGGAGAGGAAATGATCTGTAAATATATACTAAAATGATGTTCAGCCTCACAAGCAATTAAGGAAATGGAAATTAAAGCAAAAACGTTGAAATGTCACCTTACATCCCATCAGATTAGCAACAGCCAATGCTTGTCAAGACCAAATGTTGGCAAGGATGTGAAGCGACAGGAACAGCATGCTGATGGTGGGAGTATGAGTTATAGTTCTGGTGTGGATAGAGTAATAGCCCCCCAAAATGTTCACCTTCTAGTTCCTGAAACCTGTGAACGTGTTAGGAAGTATTTCATTTCAGGTAGAATTAGGGCTATTTTATACAAATGCAAATAATCCTAGATTATTAAGGTGAGCTGGCATAATCACAAGGGTCCTTAAAAGTGGAAGAGGGAAGCAGAAGACAGAATCAGAAGAAGAGATGCGATGACAGAAGCAGGGTCAGAGAGACACTGTGTTGCTGGCTTTGAAGATGAAGAAGGGGCCACAGAACAAGAAATGCAGATAGATGGCCTCTAGATGCTGGGAAAATCAAGGAAACAAAGTCTCTCTCAGAGCCTATGCAAAGGACCCCAGCCTTATCCATACCTCGATTTCAGCCCAGGGAAACATGTCAAGACTTTTGAACTCCATAAACAAAAGATAATGTACTTATGTCATTTTAGGCCACTAACTTTGTGATAATTTCTTGTGGCAGCTATGGACAACTAAGACAATCACTTTACAAAGAAATTTTGGAGCATTTAGAAATTCAACTTCCAGGATATACCACACTGCTTTGCTACTTAATTACGTGGCCTGAAAACCATGAAAATCATCTGAGAACTTGTGATGAACTTGGATTCTCAAGCACTAACCCTAACCTGGTGAATAGCATCTGTGTGTTAACAAGTATTAACAATAAACCTGAGTGATTTCCACACATATTACATTCAGAAGCACTGCTACACTGTTGGTAAAGTGAAGTAATATTTATTATTGTCATTATTACCACTATAATAATACAATACTATAATAATTATAGTGGTAATGATAGCAATAATAGTAATGTCTTTCATCTACATGGTACGTTAATAAACTGTTGCCCATGTATATAATAGAATATCATACAGCTGTGAGACTAAATGAAGAACTTTTGGAGGAAAACCTCAGCATAACGATGAATGGAAAAATACACAAGTATGGCACTATTCGTACAAAATTTTAAAGCATGGAAAACAACAGTAAAATATTTATTGATAAAAAATTGTAACTAACGTGTAAAAACGTTCACAAACATGGGAAATGCCAACATTAGGATTGTGGATGCCTCAGGACAGAAAAGGAAACGAGTGGGATGGGAAACAATTTTGGCATCCAGTGAAGTTTGAAAAAGCTGGCTGAGGGGCACACCTGCTTCCTCAGGTAACATGTGTCACCTTTGCCCAGAGGCTTGAAATATTTCCTAATTAGAAAGAATATATTAACTTAAGAATGGAATATAGTTTCTCTTCACCCAGATGTCTTCATTGGTTTCTAATTCAAAAAGTTCTCTGCATTTGTTTGTTTTGTCTTCTTTGATTAAAATTGAAGTCAGCTGAAAATGACTGTGGTTTTCCCCTTCAAATCTCCCAGGGCCTTTCCTACCAAAAGCTGCTCACCACTTTCCTGTCCCAGATTCTGCCTCCAGTCCCATTTTACATGACCTCTTTCATCAGAAGACCAGTATGTCCACGTAGCTAAGCTCTATGACCTAATGTGTTCTGTACAAATTGGGTATTGCATAAAAAACTCTTGATGCTTTAAGGAGAAGCTTTTAATAAAAATAAATAGAAAATAAACAAAACAAGTTGAAAAATAGATACTAATGGACACAATTAAAATTTTTTTTCAACATCTTTTATTCTGTGGGTATATGACTAAAACATGTTTGAGACTAATTCTATAAAATACATGTTGAAAAAACAATTTTCAATATCTGTTGTTATCTAAATACATTCAAGCTTACCCTTTTCACTAAATGTAAACATGGATATTCTGAAAATCTTGGCCCTCTCTCCTTGACACTCATAACTAAATGTTTTGCATATGCCCACCACTTAGTGACAGTGTACACACATGCAATTTGTGCTTATTCTTTTTCTGTATGTCAACTACAGATGGTCCCAAAGTGAAAGCAAATGGTGTTGGGCAGGGGGCTTAGCCCAGTGGTAGAGCCTAGCATGTGTGAGGCCCAAGGTTAAATCCCCAGCACTGAAAAAATAAAGTAAATACAGTCAAGAAAATTCTTGTCCAAGGAATCCCTAGAAACCAATTCCCCAGAGATGCTTAAGTACTTGAGAGGATTTTGAGAGGGAAAAATATCCATACCATGAAGTGATAAAGTGATAAGCAGATGTTTCCCATATGCTGTTTGCAGAAACAGTCCTACAGCTTATGTAATATTTTTTCTTAAGGTTTTGCCGTTTTAAATCCAGTTATCTATGTACATCTTTGAGGCAAATCACGTGTGACAAACAAGTTGGGTCTAAACGTCCCTTGAAATAGTGCAGAAATCAGGGATTTAAATTTGCATTGCTACTTTCTAAATTATTCATAAAATAAGGCATAGTTTCCGTATGTCAGTTGTCTAAATCATGCCTTTGTGTCCCTCAGGAATGTGAATGCATTCTTCCACACTTTTTTTTCTTTTTTTGGTTCATTTTCATTTAGGTTCATGGTTATGACACGGCTTGCTTTTCATTTAAACATCATCCAAATGCTGCTTCTTGTCAGGAATTCATTACTGGAACTGTTTTCTTCTCAAGGGTGTGGTCTGGTTACTGTCAAAGATTCCTCTATCTCCCATGGTACATTACTCAGGAAAAATTTTCATTGAACAATAATGGTTTATATCATAAAATATTCCCTTTTATACAATCATACTTTAATGATTTTTTTTTTCAGAATAAGATACTGTGTTATTTTTAACAGGAGACTCTGTCATCAGTCTGTGTTGCTTTATGTATAAGTGTATTCAAAGGTTACTGCATTGACAATATTATTTCTATTGCTTGCAGACTGATAAAGCCACCATTCCCTTTATTGTTCCCTCAACAGGAAATGCCATGTTGTTAAGGGTGTTGCCTGCCGTGTATGAAAAGCAGCCTCAGCCAATCAACAGACACCTGCCAGAGCTCCTGGCCTTGCTAGCTCAACTGGAAGAACCGGGACAGTACCATCTACTAAGGCTTTTGCATGTAGCAGCAAAGAGAAAACAGATAGAGGTAAAAAGTGTTTCATACACATGATGGTCTGCAGAACGAGGCATGTTTCTGCAAAATGTGACCAGGATTATGTGCTTAGTGTTTCCTTGCTCATACATACATAAGCATCCATCTTTAAGTGAAAGTACTCATCTACTTATGGGGTGTGTGTGTGTGTGTGTGTGTGTGTGTGTGTGCGTGTGTATGTGTGTATGACAACTAAGAATTCCCATCTGTTGTCTCCAAGCTGGAGTCTTAGTCCAAAATCCTGAGAACAGAGGGACCAGTGGTGTAAGTCTTGGTCTGAGGACTGGGAAATGGCAGTATTTCATCTCAAGCAATCAGGCAGAGAATGGATTCTCCTTTCCTTCAATTTTTTTGTTCTCTTTACATCCTCAATCAATTGGATGATAAACACCCACGATGGAAGGGCCATCTGCTTTACTCAGTCTACCCACTCAAATGTTAATCTCATCCAGAAATGTTCTCATAGACACACTCAGAAATAATGTTGAACCAAATATCTGGGCATCCTGTGACCAAGTCAAGTGGACACATGAGATTAACCATCACAGGTACAGTAATGAAAAGTAGCAAATGCAAATCTATAAACCCTACAGAGTAGCTTCAATGCAAGTTTCTTTAATTATAATAATTATTACAGTGTTGGGAATTGAACTCAGGTCCTTATACATGTTAGGCAAGTGTCCTACCATTGAGCTACATCTCCCAGTCCCTTCCTGCAGGTCTAACATGGTTATTACAGTTCTGAGGATCCATACCTTCTCACGTATAGCCAATGGAAAGGCCTACATATGATTTGGGAGTAAATCAGCCTATAGTGAGCGCAAAGTCTTTTTCTCTAGATAGCAAATCAATTGTTCTTTGGATTCAAGTGAAAGATTATAGCAATAAGGATGCTTGTGATCATCAGTAACAGAAAACTCACACCACACTGGTTTCAACCACAAAACGAATATATAGCTAAGGCAATGGGAAAAACCAAATGAACAAAACCTTAGCTGAGAAGCAGATCGGGAACTTAATGTGAACAAAACAATACCTCTTTTTTCCATTTCTAGATTTGATTTCAAGGCTTTGACTTCCATTCTCTGCAGGCTTTCTCTTTGTCATCTCCAGATAAGTACAGGACTCTCTAGACAGTATGCTTCTCTCATCCCCATCATCACCACCAACATTCAAGCAAAAGTCTTATTATTATTCTTTCTCCTAAAGACACAAACTTTACTACCACTGGTGCTTCTCCTGAACTGGAGGATATCCAGACAGAAACTAGAGATTGTCAGGAAGGCAGAAGTAGAAAGAAACTCTTGAGGGTATCAATTATGTATGCATAGTGAAGATAAACGATCAATCCCAGGTTACACCAATTATGACAGTGTCCGTGCTTAATTTCTTCATAGTATCAATATCTACCACTTGACAAACCAGTCAACGCTAAGGCAAAGCATGGGATAGTTGTATTCAACTTTCATATCATTCAAAGAAAACCAAGGAAGGGTGGACAAATGCATAACCAACCACAGTAAACTGCAAGCTCCTTTGGTAAAGAATGATCTCTTCCTTTGCTGTGTATCTCAGATCATTCCACAGAGTCTGATAATGCTCAGTAAACAATCATAGAATGTAACTGAATTAAACATAGTGATAAGAACTTTGCAAATGCTATAAACAGATGGGGAGGGTTAATGAATTCTGCCTTGGGGAAAATGGTGCCATGAAATCCCATAAGGGAAAGTCCCATAAGAAGAAAAGAATCTTCAGAAGGCAGGGCTAGGGTTAGGAGTCTTGGACAGTGGACAGCAGGATTCATAGAAAGCTTCAGGAGATGAGACCAGGAAGGTGGGCCCCAGCCTGAGCTACATCCTCAAAGATTTTGGTTCAGTAGGTCTGGGATGGTGCCCCCCCCCAGTCTTTTTTTTTTTTTTTAATAAATTCTCAGGTGATGGTGGTGCTGCTCCAGGGACCACACTTTGAAGACTAGAAGCTGGGCAGAGGCACGTGGACCTCTGTGTTACCTGATTTGCATCTTCACTTTTGTCCTTAGAACAATATATTGTCATTATTTTTGTTGTTTGTTTAATTGTTATGCTGGGTGGGGTTACATTGTGGCATTTACAAAAGTTCTTACATCAAATATGCATGTCTTTCTCTTTAGGTGCACTGTAAACTCCTTGAGGAGCAAGGACTCATGGCCACATATTCATATATATTCATGTCATATACATTAATATATATATATTCCTTAGTACTGGGTGCACCGTAGGATTTCAATAGAAAATTTTTGGGATGAACAAGAAACCAAGGAAGTAAAGACCATAAAGAACAGGGAAAGGCTGTATGGTCTCCAAAGGGGGAAATTCAACTCAATAGAGCCAGAGTCTTGAGAAGAGACTAGAGATGGTTGCTGACCTTGACTTTGACAATTGGAACTCACCAGTGACCCACCAGGGGTAGTGTCTGGTTGGCTGAGGTGGGTGGAGGCAGTTGTTTATTGTTGAACACATAAAAAGGAAGGTTAGGAAATGACCCTGAGAGTATGGACAGTTAATTCAGGAAGTTCAGAGGAAACAAGAAGAGGTAAAAACACAGTAAGAATAAAGAGAAGGAAGATGTGAGCCGAAGCACTAAAACAAGATGCTGGAGAAAGTTAGGGAATGCATTCCAGAGCACAAATGGAGGAAACAATTTCAGAAAGAATGAAGAAAGGAAATGCTGGGAAAGATACAGTAGAGCTGGGGTGAGGAGTGGAGTTGAGAGGTCATTGGATTGCCTAAAAGGAGGCCCATCAAGTGGATAAAGTGGGATGGTATATTCATTGCCTATTGCTGCTATAGCAAAATTACACAAATTTAGTGGTTTTAAAACAACACAGATTTATCTTCTTGGAGTTTTATAATCAGAAGTCCAAAACAGGTCAGCAGGGCCCATTTCCTCTGGAGGTACTAGAGGAGAATCTGCCCCTTTGCCTTTTCTGGTTTCTAGAGACTTCTGGCATCCCATGACTTATGGCGTGCATCACTCTCAACTCTGCTCTTTTTACAGTTCCTTCCTTCTTCTCTCCTCTTACAGGAACCCTAGTGATTACACTGAGGCCACCTAGATAATCCAGTGTAATCTCCCTGTCTCAACATCCTTAACTAGCACACCTGCACAGTTCCTTTTATCACATAAGATAGCATACTCATAGATTCTGTGGACTGGAACCTGGACATCTTTTTGGGGGGGCCACTATTATGCCTACTGCAGGTGGAGGCAGAGGAACAGATGATAGGGAAGATAGGAAGGAGTGGCTAAAAGGCTAAACTTGGCATCATGGAGGCACCCGGCATGCCATTTTATTTGAAACATGACAATAGGAGCAAAACAAACACAATTTTTGGAAGGTGGATTTAATAAAAGTTCAAGAAGTATCTGGGGAGAATAATTTAATTAAATTTGTTTTTCCTGGGGTAAAAGCTGAGCATGAGGGTAAAAAGAGGTTCACTTCTACCACTTGAGCCATGTCTCTAGCCCAAGTAGACTCACTTCTAGAGTGAGGAAGGGAAACATGAACCATAGATACACACCCAAGGCAATGGGGGCAGGTCCAAGAGTAAAGACCCTATAATGTGGCATTCACAGAGGTTCCACATTTAACTGTACAGTGTCTGTAGGCACAGTGTCAGGAAAGGGCTTACAAAGTATTAAAACCAGACCTCTGATCACTTCCTAGCCTCAGGGCCTCAAAAAAAACTGTATTTTTGTATAAAAATTAGTAAATTAGTAAAGCTAATTTACTATAATTTCACCAGTATCCCCTGGTATATATGTCTATCTTCATAAAAAGCCTATGTCCATGTTATAATTATACATTTGTGAAGATCTGCCTTCTATAGTCTAGGAGACTAAAAACTCTGGTTTTGTAAAGCTGATCTTTACAGAGAAAGCTGATTCTATTTTTATACATCCCTGAGTGTTTTTTCAAATGAAGAAGCCTATTGAGAGCTATCTTAAATCAGCTAATTATAATATTATCTAACTGTACCTGGGTTGACTCTTTTTAAGCTTTATTTTCTAAAGATATGAAGACTTTGGAACCCATTGGAAGTCACAAGAACTCACTGATAGACACTGTGTCTTGGGCAGTGAGCATTTACAAATATTCTGTGTTTTCCAACTGGATGGTTTTCAGCTCACAACTGCCACCCTGGCTTCACTAAAAATTCCAGTCCTTAGACAGCAGCTAAAAATGCCAGAAATCTCTGACTCCTGCTTCTCCTCAGTTCCCTCCAAGGCAAAATTTCATAGCATAATGAATTTTTCTGCACTGGCCTCTCTCCTCCCAGACTAGATATGTATGTGGAAGATATGAGAACCACTTTGCTCACCACAATGTCCCCCATGGCTAGCACAGCACCTGGCATACAGAAGTCCTCCTATGAAAATTTCTTACACGGATGAGTTAGTTAATGCTAACTTTAGCGCATCTAATGTGCCTAATGTTGCAAAGAACATTGCCATTCACAAGACTTTTTATACCTAATATCTCATTTAATTCTGCAAATAACTCTGCAATGTGTAATTTTTCTTCATTTTACATCAGTCAAAACAGATGCTCTGAGAAGTAAACTTGTTCACCATCACACATGTAGTAAATAAGATAGGTCTAGGACTTTGAAGCCCGGCTGCAGGAAGTAAGTGAGCAGCTTTGCCTTGAGAAGGCTCTGAGGGGAGTCGTTTTCTCAGAGCTGTCACAGTGAGCAAAGGGCATTGATAATGGCTGAGCTCATACCATGTACCAGGCACCATGTGGGTGTTTTACAGACATTACCTCATTTAGTCCCCACAACAAGATTTTTTATTTTATAGATAGAAAGCCAAAGTTTGGAGAAGTTACAAACAGTTGTAGAAACAAGGAATAGCTTGGTAGGGTCATCCTTATCACCCCTCCAACTCTGAGCTGCACAATTTCCATGTCTCCCTCTGCTCATCCTAGGCAGATTGTCTTCCCTGAAACC